CTTGATTCTATGTCGGTAGGGTTGTTGTCCTGAAGTTGACGCAGATATTCGGACCACACAACCCCGCGAAGAAATGGGAAATACGCAACATGCTGCTGGATCTTCTCGAAGAACATTTGAACGGGGTGAAGGTTGGGTCGGCGGCCACCACTGAGATGTCCTTTGCACTGAATTAGGACTTGTACCGCGTCAAATATTTTGTTTTTGAAGGCACAGAACCATCTCCACCTGATCAGAGCTCGGGTGGAGACGGCATAATGCTCCACGTCAGGATTATTTGTGGCAGCTCTTTGTACCAGAGATAGGTCCGGCAAGAAATCCGGGGTGCCGGAGGAATCGTTTGGACAAATACCCAGACTTGCGATGGACCATAAGGCCTTGTAACAGATCAAGTGGCGTCTTGTCCTTGCCTCGGACGAGAGGAGTCCACTGCTGCAGCTTCGAAGTAATCCTTCGATGCGAGCCCACAATTGAACGTCAGGATTGTGGATGAGGGCTGTGATGTAGTCATCATATGTGTTCCGTCTCCCCCCAAGACTCCAAATGACGTCGGAGAGACTCTCGACGAACGGTTCGAGTTCTTCATCGTCAGTAAGTGATTTCACTGTCCACACAAGCGCCCGAATATCGCGGACCGTGCGTTCGGGACAGCTTTCAGTAGCCTGCTGATGAATCGCTTCGACAATCCCATTAGGTTGGGACAACTGCACTGGATGTGGGCCGTCTCCAGTATTGGGACTGTTCGAATTCCACCCATGTAGTGGCAGAGCGTGCCATACCCGCCAAAGGGCACCCGAAAGAGGAGTCCGATACGGACAATCGAGGAAGGCGATCGGGAGGAGAGTGAGCGCCAGGTAGACAGCTGCGACAACACCCAAAGACGTGGCCACTACCGTCATGATAAAGCTATTGACGGGTGCCAAAAATGTCACCAAACCGGCGAAGAATAGGAGCAGAGATGCGTGAAGCAGTAGAGGGACGATCTCCACGACTGTGTGCATCTTGAACCGCTTCAGCCCGTAATACAGGTAGGAGAATACGCGGGCGCGAATGACGGGTGCGGACCGAATTTCGGAGTGGTGTATGAAATCACGGGCCCACTGTTCCAGGAGAGTCGCTACGAGGGCACATGAGAGGCTGAGGCCGAGACTAATGAACCATAGAGCATTGCAAACAAGGGAACTCGTAGGTGGAATGAATGGATCGGGAGGAGGAGGCAATTCGAAAGTGCTTCCATTTGCCGCCGCGGCCAGTTGGTGTGAAATCTGCGTCAGGAGGAATATCGTCGTCTTCTCGGGATCAGGGTTCAGGGTCTTGTAGCTCTCTATTAAGAAAGCTGTCAAACTTGCAGAAAAAAGGCCGGCCTTGATCACGATTGATTGAAACACGCACGAAAGGCTTAAGATCACGCACATAGATAAGCATTCCATCCATATTGCTCCTCCAGGTCTCCACAAGCGCTCGGTCGTATTTTTCCGCTTCAGAAACGTACACCGACCATAGCTTCGCGCTATAGGCTTCATTGTCAGGACCGCTGTCTTCAAGATATATGAGTCCTGTCCTGCGTTAGAGCAAGGTCTAAACTGTACCTGGGCTCCGTGCGCTCCACATTCTGTTTGCATCTACCATGGTGGTCGGAGGCAAAGGAGGGGCGCCAGAATAAGCGCCGGGGGGTCATGAGATGAAGACTTTCGGACCAACGGAAACATCCTCAGCCGGTGCGACGTTCCAGTGGAAGGTGAAGGCCAGTGGAAGGAAAAGGTTGTTGACAGGCGCACAGCTTCGTGTGAACATTCTCAAGTGAGACGGCAACGATCACGGTGTGTTCCCGTGCGGATGTAACAAACTGTACAAGGAACTGCGCTCCGAGAGACGAAGGGAGCAGTTTGGGACTCAGAGCGTCGGATACATGGGCACAGAATGAGATGCTGCAAGCTTCTGGAGGTTGACGACGACGATGATAGCAGTCGTTCAGCAAAGCAGTGGGGGGCTTGGTCTTCGATGATGGGTACCACGTCCAAGACACGTCTTGGCCCGTCAGAATGGAAGAACGAAGGATGGGTTATTATGAGTACCCAGGATGCCGATGACGGCCACGTATGACCCGGCCATTGCTGGTTCTCCGGGAAGGATCTAAGTCCGGCGACTTGCAATTGTAAACTCCCACTGCGCATTTCAGTCCAAGAACGAATTTGATTCATGATAAAGGGGACGGCTTCCCTGATTTGACTAGCGTGGCCGACTACGACTTGCGACATTTATGAAGCTGCTTGTGTTCCTTCCATCCCTCGCGCAAACATCCTGTCCCACAGAAAAAGACGCGCCCCTCGCAAGTCCCTGTAACAGAATCGACGTTAGGCGAACGGAACTCGAGCAGGGAAAATCGGCCAGCATCGTAGCACTCGGAAAGATCGCAACGCACCCCCGCATTTCTTCCAGGGTCCCGCCGCACTGCACGCAAAGCAGCGCTGCCACGGCCCCGCACGCGCCACCCGCATCTCCTCCGCCAAGTCCACCTCATCAAAATGCCCGCCCGGTACGTCCAAGCGCAGCTCCCACAAATCGCCGAAACTGCGCGAGCCGAGCTTCGAGCTCGTCGGGATGAACTGGCTGTTCGCCCAGCCGCCGAACATGTACGTCCTGCCCGTCGCGGGGTCACACTGCAAATGGGCCTGGCATCGATACGTTGGGAAGCCCGGGGTACGCACATGGCGCCACGTGGGCGCGGGCGTCTCGATGGGGTTGGCGCGAGCGCCCGTCGCGGTCGTCGGCGCCATGTCGAATACGAAGGTGTCCGCGAAATACGAGTAAGGGAACTGGCCCTCCCTGCCATCCATGACCAGATATGCGGGAAGGCCCGGGTGGTAGCCTCCAAAAACGACCGCCTGCTGCAGCTTTTCGTTCTGAAACGCGTCTGTGAATGGGCGTGCAGCGACGATCGGTATTTAGACTTACATATGCATACGCCATCTCCGTGCGCGCACACGGCGGGTTGCCGGCCATGCGCTCCTGTTGCCACACCTCCTGCTTGATGTCCCAGCTCCAGAAGTCGGTATGTGCAAATGCCGAGTCGCTTCCGTGTAGCTCGTTGTGGAAGTGCGCTGCGTCGCGATCGCAGTTGCCGAACAGAACGTAGATGCGCGCCTTGTCTGGGCTCACCCAGCTAGACGCGTACTTGCGGGGGCCAGGGCAGGAGTAGTCGCCGTCCTCGGTGACGTGCACGGCGCCGCTGAGCCGGCGCCATCTGCGCGTGGTGAGATCGAGGGTCATGAAGAGGTTGCAGCCTAAGCGCGTCTTGCTGTGCGAGCCACCGAAAACGTAGAGCGTGTTGTTGACAATCTGCTGCGTCGCGTCCATGCAGCTCCCTCCGGGGTAGGGCCACCCGCCTTTCACCCCGGCAGCTATATCTGCGGCGGTTGGCGTGTACGTCGTCTGGAATGATCCCCACGTCTCTGTTTTGAGGTCGAAGACATCGACGGCGGGGCGGCCGGTGAAGAGGATCGCGGCGTTGTTGTGGGTGAGCATGTTCCACCCGATGAACATCCCCGATCTTTCGAGGGGGACGGGGTAGTCTGGGAGGCGGCGCCATGCGTCGCTCTTGGCTAGATCGAGCGCCCAAAGATCGCGGAGGTACGGTCCTTTCGCTGTTTGCCTGCCTCCGGAAACGTAGAAATGGCCTAGGTAGCACATAGAAGAAATTCAGCATAGTGCAAAGCTTGAACGGCTGGGTCTACGCACCGTTCCATATGAAGCTCGCGAAATCCTCCCGTCCTTCGGTAGGACCTCCCTGCTTGACGTGCAGGCGCGTCCACGACCCGCGGACCTGGAGCGCAGGCACACTCACGTCTACATCTGTCGCGCCCGGATCAGGATGGCGCGACGTCAAGAGCTTGAGCATGAGTCCCATGTCCTGCACGCGCTTGAGTGCGGGGGTGAGATGCCTCGGGCCAAGGCTGACGGTGGTGGTGCTTGCGGTCCAGCGGCGCATCGCTGCCGTGCCCGAGTTTCCCAACGATGCGAAAATCTCTGAGGCGAAGCAAAGTCCGGATGAGACGAGGAAGCTCAGCTCGGGGATGTCGAGCATCCAGTTCCGCCACGCTGGACGCGTACACGTTAGCTACCGCACTGGAGAACGGCGTCGTGACGGACTTGCCTTGTAGAGGGGGATTGGCCTCATAATAATTGACGCGATGCAATGAATTGATTTCTTCGCACCAAGCGAGGGCCTGCGACGCGTCAGATGGAGGTTAGAAGAGGAATGGAACACTGCTGTACCAGTTCGATGTGATTCCCGCGTCGCAGACATTTGGCCATTCCCAGGCAGCATCCCATCAGATTTGTGCGTTGGAGAGGATCTAGCTTGAGGTAGACTTCGGATACGACTCCGCGGCCAATGGCGGGGATTTCGCAGTCGGGACCGACTATCTTGCGAGCCTCCTCGTAGTACGTTGCCTGTGCAGCCGCAAAGTCTCCCGCTTCAAAAAGACGATCAGCCAAACGGCTAAGTGGCTTTCAGCTGAGCGCAGTGGATGACGAATGAGGGACATACTGGGTGATAGACATCTGCATCACCCTCTTCCTCAATTCCTCGGAGACCGAGTCAGGGAATGGCATCTCATCAACGACAGTAGGATAAGGTCGCGTCCGCGACATGGTCATAAGAAAAAGCACGTCGCGTTACGGCGTGACGTGACACCATTTGATGCGCGCTGAGTCGGCGTGAACAGTCACTGGACGTGAATCGTGAACTTGGCTCGGTGATTGATATTCTGGCGCCAACGGATTGATCTTGGTCTCGGAAAGCAACTGCTAATACCTAGATGAGTCTATACTCGGCCTGGTCACAACCCCTTCACCGACTCTCCAGGGATTAAGGTTAACATTGCCAGTGGATTAAGGGGCCAGCGAGGCAACTCAGAGGCTAAACATGGAGTTGCGAGGGATACAGAGAGCCACTGCATGAAGTCAACATAAAAAGAGAGGTAACAAAAACAAAAGAATGCGCCGAGAGGGAATCGAACCCCCGGCGGGTCGAATAAGCGACACCAACATAAAATGGCAACGACCCAGGTTACCACTACCCCATCGGCGCGACGACTTCCCGCGCCGGGATGCTTCTGCCAAGGAGATGTCGTGGTTGCCAATCGGTGCCGCTTGAATATATTGGATACGGTCCGACCCTCTATTTGTTGAACTAACAGCTTTTGGGCGGCAAAATTGTCTCTGAAACTCGGGGTTCCATACTGTGTTTCTGATGATGTGGCAGCGCGACAACCTTTAGAGGCAGGTAGAATACAGATCGGTCGTGGAGGAAGCTAATAATCATAAATGAAATATTCGTTGTCTGAGGACCAGGTATGAGTTGACTGCTCTCCTTTCACTCAATGAAAATAGCCTCACCAAGATCAGTCGCATCCGCCTCGCCTTTGAGACAGCCCAGACGAACTCTGTCCTCCGCGGATACCCCTCTCGCATCCAACCTCGCAGCTCGGCGGCGGTTCACCATGATATCTACAAAGTATAAATGTGGGATCAGAGAGGGCATCCAATTCTCACAGTAGATGCGCCAGATGGCGACGAGCACGAACACGAGTCCAAACATAACCGATAGGACTATCGTACTCTGGCGGTACCGCGGCGCCCACTTGGCTTGGAAGACCTGTGCACCGACCGCCTGGCCGAAGCAGTATGCGATGAAAAGGACAATGGAAATGACGCTCTTCTTGGTGCGGCCCGCGATGTTGGTGCTCATTAGGCTCCAGACCACTGTCGGCAAGATCTTAAAAACGGCAGCAGAGTTCCTAGATGTACGCACAGGCACCACTAATTTGACTCGTTATCGTAATGAAGTAAGCTCCCCACTTGGGCCAGAGATTTTCCTTTGAGGTGGGAACGAGGGAGCTTGGTAAACCGAGCGTCAGAATATAGCGGACCAAACCAGAGACACACATACAGAACAAGCATTCCGAGGATCCCGGGAATGTTGGAGAGCATTATCCAAAGCACTGCAATGAATGATTAATCACAAGACCGTCATCCGTGCCGCCGAGGGAACCAGGACGAACATCGCATATGTTTGAACTTGGTAATTATGTATCCTCCCAGGATGAACCAACACGTCCCAAGAACTAGGGCAGGGCTCGGTCTCATACGTAAGTTTGCAAACTGCATTAAAAAACGAACCGTTCTGAGGGAGCGTTCCCTTCACCAGTGCATCAAGTGGAGTGAATCCAAGCCCGACGTAAATCAGGTTGCCAAAGGCGCTGCAACAGTCTGAGTGGAACATATTTTCATCACCAGCAACAAGCACGTACCCGATTCCCCCGCCAGGGATCCCTGTGCATGGTAAGTTGAGAGCCGGATTTATGTCAGTCATTTTACAAACCATTGGCAACGGTGACGAAGAAGAAAAAGTAAAGCCTTTGAGAAACCGCATACAATTAGTGAGCGATCAGCAAACATGACTGCAGACCGACTGAGGATCTCGGAAAGCTCCAGCCACTTGCGACCACTTCCATTCCCTAAAATGCAGGTATTGGATAGAAGAACTAAGCATTCAGAAATCACTTACGCTCGTTTCTGGGCGTCAGAGCCTGTGTTATTATAAGCGACACGCGCGGCTTGTATCTTCTTCTCCTCCGCAGAAAGCCAGAATACCTCCCGAGGAGTGCCCAGGCAAAAGAATCCGATGACGGCGACTACGACGGTTATTCCACCTGCATATACGATAAATAGCTAAACGTGACGGTAAGAGGAGTCTCACCGAGGAACAGACTCATCCCTTTCCAGGCAGCGAGCCCGCCTGGATGAGCCGCGGCAGCACTTCCGATTCCATAATTGATCAAAGCGACAACGACAGCGAATGCGAAGTTCGCTGTGTTTTCGAGATTAGCAACAGGGCTCCTTCGTCACAAATGTCAAACAAAGACCAACCAGTTCCTAAATGAAGATGACACTCGGCATTGCTTGTGAGAATGTATGCAGCCAGGCGTACCCCAGATCATAACACGAAGGCCGTGCTCCTCCTTGCGGTAGGACATACCAGTGATGATCAAGAAGGCTGGGCTAATAATACTCTCCGCAAGGCCTAGGAGGACCTCAAAAATTTGAGCAAGTCGCCTTGGATTATTAATATTGTACCTTGGAGCGCTCTCATAATCATGAGATCGGCCCAATTGCGAGCGGCGGCAGTACAGAAAACGATGACTATACAGTACGCCTTCGTTAGAGCTCCTCGCGTGCAAGATTCTCCGACTTACCGCCCCAGCTGAACATACTAACGCCCAGAGTCTTCCCGACGGAGAACCGCTGCATGATCCAATTCCCAGGCTACTGCGGAGTCAAATTCGTTTCGACTCAATAATCTCAAGAACGCACAAATTCGCCAGCGAGGTACTGGTTAACCCCTAGAATCAGCAAGTCGCGAATAAAGAACTGGGGACAACGGACGGCAATGTAAAATATAGTGCTGAGCCACGCGTACTCGTTGCCTTTCATATGTGTATCGGCAATAATCCCAAAAGTCGCCTGAGTTGCAAGGCCAGTCTTGTCGACCAGCTGGATCCCGTACATGATCCACTGTGCAGCCTGATGAGCACCGCAAGCCTGAATCAAGGCCATGGAATAAAGACCATGAGAGGCATCAAGATCCTATCCTGCTTCCTCAGAACACGGTCAAAGTCTGCTTGAGTGTAGGTCTCAGCCCTATGGAGCCATGGAGTGAGAAGCAGTAGTGTATTCGGAGTGCCACGTACGCTTCGACTGTCGCGAGGACCGCCTCCGACTCCTTGCCGTCGACAGTAGCCTGATCGTGTTTTTCTTGTGATACGATACTGGATCCCATTGTCGACCCGAGGGAAGTGGAGTCGGAAGGGACGCTGGGCAGCAGATCAAGACATTAATGCGGATGTAAAGGAAGAGATAACCGCCGGTACTTGGTTGATTGCCGATCCCGATGACAGCGGAAACGGTGCGATAGAAGGCACTTATTTGGGAGCACCCAAAAAAAAAAACTTCTATCTTACAAACTCGCAGAACGCAGCAAATGCCGAAATTTGAGCTTTTGAATGTATCCCATCGACTTAACAAGGCCCGGTTTCGAGGAACCTCGCTCCTCGGAGGGCGATGAGCGAGCCCGGGAGGATCGCTGGAACTGGAGATTGTGCCTGGCTGCTCTTATGTAAGGCCGTGGCGCTCTGACTAACCCAATACCGCCGGACAAGGCGGGATTCTCCTGTTACAATTACTCCCTGATTCGACAAGGTTCTGTCGCCCTTGGGATTTACCAAGTTGATGGGGACGGGTTGGGAACGAGGATACACTTCCGAAGTTAAGACGACAGTTATCGACCGTCAAGAATTGGCCACTGTTTTTATCGAAAGTCCCAAGCTGCGGCTGGGATAGTGCACTGTGTCCGGTGTTCAAATATATCACTGATCCGATTTTGAGTTTCGAATCGGTGTCAAGTGGCCAGATGTGTGCGAAATGGGCGTTCAATAGAATCACCTGTCCGATACAGTTCGTATCGGTGATTCGAAAGCTTCTGCCCGCTTGAATCGCAGACTTGCTGCTGGGGAACGGATGAGACCCAATCGGCATGGAAGGCCGAAGTCAAAGTATCAGATCGATTTTATTCATTGAGGAAAGAGATGGAGGGAAGGAAGTACAGGAGAGACATTTAGCTAACGATACAGTGAGCGTGGGCGGATGAGTAATGCTAGGGTATAAAAAGATGGGCGGTGGCGTGCGGAAACGTGCAAGGAAAGGAGTGTCGGGACCAATGAAGGGTCATGAAGGCAGGGGAACGGACGGAGTGGTGAAGGAATGCAGGGTGATCGGATCCAGAAGCGGACCGACTAAATAGGACGGAGCATACGATGCCTGGCGGTCGGTAGTTAATAGGTGCGGCGGGGTCGCAAACTATGTGGTTGGGTTGTGGCTGTCTCTAGACGAGCGTGCGTCCGCGGGGACCGCTGTTAACGACAGGGACCGGGGGCGAGGACGGCTGGATGATGCGGGCATGCGGATCTTTCAGCACCTCAGGCTCACCCTCATGCTCCGAGATGTGGTGCCATCCCCGGTACGGCGGGAGCACATACGCCTCGGGATCCGTGGAGGACCGCCGGAGCACGACGAAGGAGCGCCCCGAGGTGGCAGAGGGCGGGCTTTGCGTAGGGCTGGGCGCCGCGAACGTGGTGTCAATGGGCTTTTTTGGCTCGATGCTGCGGGAGGGCTCGAAACGCGAGGAGCGCGAGAAGTCGGCGAACGAGCCCGTGCCAGATGCAGGGCGTATCGGCCGGGAAATGGACGCCAGCTGGATGAGTCCGTTGTCGGTCTTGGGGGCAGCGCCGGGGAGCGGTGGCAAGGCACGAGTGAAGCCGATGCGCGCCGCGGCATTCCAAAATGCAATGGACATGTTAGAGAATGCATGCGCGTAGTTGGTGCGCGCCTCTTCCGCGAGCCCGAAGAAAGCGAAGAATGCGAGCGCACACGCGGGGCCTAGCCACCGTGTCAGCTCCACGGCGTAGCGGTTGCTGCTATCTGCAGCCCACAGGTCGCGCGGGACCTGAGCGATAACGTTGAAGTCGAAGGGCGCGACGTCCCCGGAGACCTGAGTGGAAAGCAGGACGGCGGTGACATTCGTGGCGATGGTGAGCAGGCCGAGGGCGACGGTGGGGAAGAGGACAGAGAAGGTGAGCCCGCCGAGGCGCACAAAGCGCATCTCTGTGAGGTTCCTGTGTGCTGAAAGACCCTCTGTGAGGGTGGCACGGGCAGCGACGAACGCACGTTGCGAGAGGGAGAGGTACACGGCAGAGCCGAAGCTGAGGAGAAGGGGCGGGGCGGATGAAATGAAGTACGTAGGCGGGGAGTTGTAAAGAGCTATGGTGCAGCCGATGTCCTCAAGGATGTCGAAGCGGTGTCTTTGGACGATGATTTGCAGGCCGGTGTACAGGACAGGGAAGAGTCCGCAGATGAAGGAGTCGATAATGACGGCGCGGCGTTTCTGAAGGTAGAAAATGTCAAGGGGGTACGAATACAAATTGGGAAAGGGAGAACGCACCTCTTGCTTGCCGACGAGCGCGGCGGGTGGCA